AGGAATACCCAGTCTACCTTTTCTTTACTTGCTGCCCATATCGTTACTGTTAGTGAGCCCCTCACCCCTGCCTTGAGCAGCTCCTTGCTGCCATGTGCACTAAGGCTATGATTGATTGGCATATGCTGCTGTTTCCAATTTGAACACTTTGTAATCCTATATAATTCTAGGATGTAATGATACGTTTTGGCTAGGCTTCTTGTCAAGCTGCCCTGGAAACCTCTGGAAAATCATCTGGCTTAGGAAGCACCTAGCTGTGGAAAGAAAAGGGAAATGATCTTTTCAGGAATCATGACTTGCTCAGGACCACGAGATGAACAGAGCTGAGCTGAGGCAGTTGTTTAGGAAATATTTAGTCTTTCTATCTTGCAGCAGCTCCCTGTTAGAATTAGATGCTGGCATATTCACCCTAGGTACCAGTAGACCAGCTTCTCCATGTTCCATGTTCCCTGAGGCAGGGAGCCAGGGCTGGAAGCTTAGGGAGAAACAAACTACTAGTATTTCTTTTTAAACCTTTTCTTTCACTAAATGTGCTGAATGATTTATTAGATGGTTTAATGAAGGTATGAATTTGGCAATGATGTGTTAGCTGGCTAGAAATGAATAAATATCGAAGCAAATACCACTGATTGATTAATTCTATCTTGCAACAACTTAGGCTTCCCAAATCTTCACATCCACCTTCTTTTTTTTACTCAGATAGTTCAATCCTGTGCCCAAGCCACTCATTCCATGCCCCTTGCTGTTCACTCAGACTGTTCTCTGAATGCCCTTCAGCTTACTAGAATTGTCCTGTTAATGTTTTTAAACCATTCAGTGCTTTCTGGCAGCCTTTGGAGTAGCAAAGTTTGCGTTACTGGAATCCTAAAAACTGGTGTCTGAGTCAGTGAGATCTGGGCCCTGCAATCCCCACAAGTGGGTGTCCTATGGAAGGTCTCAAGACTTGACTTTCAGTTTGGATTCTTCTCCCAAACTTCTAGCCTTGAGATAAACTTATAATGAGTAAACTAGATCTATTTTTCCTCACGGAGCAAAAAGATAAATGCTTTTTTCAGCATTTCTGCCGATCCCTGTATTGTAAATGCCTCATAGGAATCCAGGATTCCCGTGGAACAACCTTCAATAGAGCGTACAGCTCCAATACAAAAGGATTTTTGCCAGTTCATTGGTGAGACTGATTTCCCATCCGTTAGCCCTGTCTTTCCATCTTTCACCCTTAAGTGACTTGATTAGTCTTGGTTGATCTGAGGAACATGATGACAATGAAACCGCAGACATACACAAAAAGGCAGAAAGAACTCTCATGGTAAAAGTTTTAGGTTGTATGTTCCGTCTCATGGGTGAAGCACCTGGGGTTTGCAGAAACAGTAATCCGTTCAGAAAAGTCAGTCTCATCATATTTATCTCTTAAATCACTGCATGGCTATTGCATTATATATTATGAGGAACTTGCTTCACTGTCTCTTGAGCTTGGTCACATCGTCTGTGCAGCTGACAGTACTGAGCAGAGAAGGGTATTAAGCCATCAATGATGGAGCTCCAAAAGTGTCTTTAGGGCAGTAATACATAGTGGGGTATGTCTGGAGCTATGTGGCTGCTATCAGCACTCGCAGGCATGCCTGGTATTTGCACGAGCCATCTCCTACTTGAAGCAGAGCCATGCAGGCTGGTTGGGAGCCAGCTCGGAAACCTCCTGAAGCTTCTCTGCAAAGCTACAGGGGCAGGAGGTAAAGAATGTTGATGTTTGCAATCAAAATGTCTGCCAAATGGAGGTGCTTAGAGTCACAGTGCTCCCTGCGTGCCTGCAGCGATCTGTTATCTTCTGCCTTGTGCCGCCGTGACACGCTTTTCTAAGCAGGGATCACTGCTGGGTTTACGTTTGCTGTTGTGTCTGTAGGATTGGGGAGGATTCAGCACTTATATTGCAAGTGGTTTGTGGTATTCAGGCCTTGTGGTATTGCAAGTGATAAATGAGAAGACTCAAGTGATTTGGCAAGAAGTGGCAGGTACAGACTGCCTATTCCCATTGCTGAGAATCGTTCCTCACAAAGGGGTGTGAAGGATTTACAGAAAGATCATCAAAGCCTGCAGAATCTGACGCTGTTCTGCCTGATACATTTTAAGCCCCAGTGTCAATCCCAGCCTTCCAAACTATGAATATGAGGGGGAGGATCTTTTTATAGTTGTTCCGGTTAGGGAAAAACAAGGAAGGGTATGGCCAGAGATGTATGGAAGGGAGGCTGGGGATCCCTGTAGTAGTAATGTTACTGCATGACTTTGCTGCAGTCCCTGAGATAGCAGGAAGCCAGGAGAGGGGTTCCAAGGGAGATCCAGGTACCCAGGACACAAAAGAAGTCACGCATATCCCTAGGGAAGCTGTTAGAGTGACTCCCAGCAGGAGCTGGCCACATGCTTCCTGCAGCATTGGCCCTCAGAGCCTTGTGCTGGGAACAGTGCAGGCAGAACAGGCATCCGTCTGCTGCTGCATCTGTGACAGTGAATCACAGCCCACTCAGGGAGCCCTTGCTGCCATTGAAACCAAATAGATGGGCAGAGCTGTGTGATGTAGCTAGAGCGCCAGAGAGAGAGCTGGGAAATGGCTGTGTGTCAGCTCGCTGGCATTTTGCTGTCAAACGTCAAAGTGTGCCTGCACAAGCCGTGTCCTCCCACAGCAACATCTGCCCCAGAGAGAGGCCTTGTTGCTCAGCCAGGCTTGCCAGCATATAGGTACTGGTGCTGCAAATCTGTTCCCAGCTGTTGCTTGCAGAGAGGCATGACCTAAACCTTACAACCAGCTGTGAAGGTACCTGGAAAAATAGGAGATACCTGAATGGACAGGTGCTAGGAGCTTAGGCCTGTCCTTTTTCCCTTGGTGCTAGCGGGGAATAGGATAAATAGGGGCTACTTCAGCAGTGGTGTGCAAGCTGCTACAGAATGAGACAGCTCTGAATACCATCTTCAGTATATGGGTGTGCTAGGTGCAGAGCCAGGAGCTGCTGGTGGTTCTTGAGCAATGTGAGCTTGGGAATCCCTGATGTAAAAGCTCTCCTGGGAATCAGAGCTGAGAACTGGCTCATTCCTTTCAGCCATGGCAGTGGAGGATGCAGGAAGGTAGCCAGAGGCTTGTCAGACAGAGGAGTCACTGGAGGGGACTGAAGGGTTATATGGGCATTAAGGAATCTATAGTTGGTGGGAGCTTAGGATCACATGATAATCTAGTTGGATGTGGTCCAAGTGTCCTCTCCAGCTCAGAGCCTTATTCTGAGTGAAACATTCCAGCAGGAGGAGATGTGAGGATATGGGACCGCCATGCGGCTCTCATAGCCGCATCATAGATCATGCTGATCTCTGGTAGAGTCTAGCCTGATCCACAGGCTTGCCTGCTTGCTAGCGCTGGTATTAGCATTAACTCTTACATCAATGAGTGTTTATGTAAACACTAGGTTCATTTCCATCTTCCTATTTTTTTTCCTGCCAACACATCATATGTTTCTGAGATGCACTGTTATGCGTGGGAGGAAAGTGCTTTTGATCAACTTTATTTTAGCTTCTTTTAATTGCTGTTCTTATGCTGTGAACTGGAAGAGTTGAAGCTCCTGATTTTCCTTCTCTAGAGCTGTCTCATTGTTTACATTGCTCTGACTTCTCTTATCCTACTTTTCTCAATTTCTCTTCTGGGTTTTCGTGTGCCCTTGTAGCTCTTCTCCAAATTCAATATCATTCCATAGTCACAAATGCTGAGGTAAGGTAGATGAAGGCCTAGATATTCTGGATGTTATATCCTGAGGTCTGGAGGTTGGTAATGGCAGCAGACGCAGGGGACCTGGTGTCCAGAGCAGGATCACAGCATGGGACTGTGAGCACTGAGGATGCTTAGGTGAGACAGGGGTTGTGGATTACTGACCACAGAGTCTGGGACAGAGTTTGGAGGAGAAGAGTTTGATGTCTAAGAGCTCTAGTCATTCTCAAATCCCTCAAGATCATCCTGGTTCAACATTGTCTTTTGTGGTTTCTCCCTCTCCTTTCTGCCTTAGCTGCTCTTCCTTGCACTCTTCTGCTCTGGCTTCTCTGAAGTATAGAAGGGAATGCAAAAGGAAAAATACCCACCAGGTTTTCCTGGGAGCACTTGCTGTTTGGCCCTCTGGGGCAGCTGGGGAAGGAGGAATAAGCATGTTCCCTGCTCTCCAATGTCAAATTCTGGTTTACTGACCACTGATGGAGCTGAGCTCTTAGTACCCTTTCTGTACGGCTCCTGGGACTGTGGACTTTTACGCTGGTACTTCTGTGAAGTACAGTAGTTAAGTACTGCATATAATGTGACAAGACAGCAGGAAACTGTGAGCCAGGCATCCTAGGACTGTCATCCACAAAGGGTTAGTAGAAAGCAAGGTGCTGTATGTGATCTGTTTAACCTTCAGCAGTAGCTCCCCAAGGGCTCACTGAAGTCATCCACTCCCCATAACGAGAGGCACTTGTGTGCCAAGGCTGTCCTGGACTTCTATATCTCTAATGCTGCAAGATCTTCCAGCACAGTCAAGGATTTTGTTCTTAAAGAAAAGTTCAAGACATTGAGAGGCAGGGAAAAATGCTGAATCCAGTGCAAGAAGATAGACTGCCCTTTTCAGAGGTCATGTATGTGTTGCCTGCTTGCTTTCCTGAGAGTTTTCAGTGCCACCATGACTGCAGAGCAGTGTCCTGAACAGGACCTGTGTAGCACTTCGGTCACTTGAGTGAAATCAGTTTACTATCTTTGAAGAGGTTTGAGAGGGGTCAGTTGGAAGCACAAGTGTTGTGCCAGGAGTCTGGAGGGGGACATGTTGACCTTGCATTGCAATGCTTTCCCTGAAGAAGTAGAGCTGAGGACCTTAGTAATTGTGCTGAGAGAACCTAGTCTGCTCATGGCATGCAATCTTCAGTGTAACCAAAGATGCTTTAAACTGTTAGTGCCTTTCCTGAGAGGTGACTTCCTCTGTTTTTATTTTTTTCCTCTTTTTAGGTATCTGAATTCCCTCATGAGAAGTGTCCTCCCAGCTTCCCATGCACACCCTAACCTGTCCATGGGTCATGCCATCTTAACTGATGTCCTGAAGAGCATTCCTCACCATGGATAGTCCACCCAAGCTGACTGGCGAGACGCTGATTGTCCATCACATTCCACTGGTTCATTGCCAGGTCCCTGACAGACAGTGCTGCTCCGTGAACAAAAGGACCAACCCCTTCTGCCAGCCAGAGATAGGCATCACACAGACCTCTGTCCTTCCAGACAGAGACCTTTCACAGACTGACTCCTTGGTGTACAACAGTTTTCTCCAAAGCTCAGAAACCTCAGCAGAAGCCTCAGACAACAAAGAGAGCAAAGCAAGGGACTTGATTGTCCCTGGTGTCAGTAAGTGGCACAATCCTTTCCTGCTAAATGAGGGTGAAGACCTCAGCATTTTTGGGGATGACTTGGGTCAAAAATCTTTCCACCTTCACAACTCTCTTGTGTCTGGCAAACCTCCCTTTCACCTGCACGAGCTGTCCTTGCCCCCTTTCCACCTCCACGACTCCAACCATATCGTGAAATCCTGGAACATGGCCAGTCGATCTGGTCTGGTGGATGGGCAAGAGGGCAAAATCAGCAGTGATGATATCCAGAAGAAGAACAATGTCAACAGGTGCCGCCAGGCCTCCGAACGCATGGAGCTGGATGAATGCAGCTGCCGTCGTAGGAGCTCTTCCAGCTTCTCTTTTGATGGTGGTGACCAGGAATGGAACCAGAACACAGGTGACGCACTGAGGAATCAGGATGCTCTGCACAGCCGGACATGCAGCTGCTCCAACTCAGAGCTCCAGCACTGTCGGTGCTATAGTTCATCAAGTCGGTCAGAAGTGATTGACCAGCAGATGGGCTACATCAGTGACTCTTCCTGCAACAGCTCTGATGGAGTGCTGGTAAACTTCAGTGCTCTCTACAACAAAATGAATGACCATTCTCGGTCTAACTTGAATTCAGCCAATCTGTCCTGTGACTCTTCCTTCTGCAGCCACTCAGACACAGGAGCTTTTTACCTGGATTTGCATTCGTCACCCACAGAATCCAAGATGTCTTGTGAATCGCATCATCCAGAGAGTTCAGAGAAGGTGTGTGGATGTCACCACTCCTCCTCACCTGTCCTTGATGCTAATTGCAACTCCTACCACCTCCACTGCGAGCCTTGCACTTCAGAGAGCTCAGATTTCACTGCCTGCTTCCAGAGCCAAGCACGGCTTGTTGTGGCCACTCAGAATTATTATAAATTAGTCAGGTGTGACTTGTCTTCCCAGTCATCCCCTAGCCCAGCAGGGTCTTCCATAACCAGCTGCTCAGAAGACCACACCAAAGGTAGCCCAGCCCAGCCCAATGAATACTACCTGTTTAGAAGGCCTGCCTTGAGACGAGAAGAAAGCAATGCAGAATGCAGTGAAGTGGAGACAAAGGGAGAAACCACACAGAATATTATTGAGGGTCAGGTCTATGTAAATGTATCACCACCAAACCTCAACACAGGCCGACAGCGCTCCAGGAGCTACGATCAGAACCTGGACAGGAGTCCCAACAGCCGGCTGGCCTCTCTGGAGCGCATGGTGAGCTGTCCTGTTATGTTGAGTGAAAGTCCAGCAATACTCATCCAGAGTTCTCCCCCAAAGCGAGTGACATCTTTTGCTGAGCTGGCCAAAAGCAGGAAAAAGAATGGTTCTTCCCCACCCCTCCGGCCCAGTGGTGATTCCTCCTTGGAGTTCTCTCCTATTCCTGAGACACAGCGGGATTGTCCAACCTTCCTCGAAGAAAGAGCTCACCGCAGCCAGAGTCTTCCACCCATGCCCTTCGTCCATGGCCTGAACCAGATCTGTGAGGGCTTCTGCTTGGCTCACACCTTTGGAGATGGCCAGGCTTTGTGTTCCACCAAAGACTTGGGCTCCAGTGAGACCATCCCTGGTGGGCACGGGGCAGGTGAGCAAACCTCTCTCTCCCTGCTCACGGAGGCCAATGCTGGCTGCTCAGGTAGCTCTGCCAGTGTCCAAGGACAAAGAGATGTTAGAGTCCGAGC